AAAAAAAAAAAAAAAAAAAAAAAAAAAAAAAAAAAACAGAGAGAACAAAAAGTTAATTTATTGACTTTTGACTTCCAAAACAGAATTTTAAAATCCATAGCCCAAAGAAAATACTGGAAGTAGAAGCACATTTTATTTGCAAAAAGCAGACGTTGTTGAGAGGTAAAAAGTCTGTTTTCTTTTCATTCCCAAAGCTGGGCTTTGAATATATCAGTGACAAAGCCTGAAGTAGTGGAGGTTTTATGTTACAATCTCTTGAGTGGGGAATACTATACCATCAACGGTTTTCTCCCCTGATATCTGTATACCTAAAACACAATTCTAAGGGGAAGAGAAGAGAGAAAAAGATATTTTTTCTGAAGATTTTTTTTTTCCTAAAGAGACTGAGTTATAAGCCAAAAGAGGTTAAATTTCTTAAATTGGCAACGGCAAGATTAGCTATTCATAGTATATGAGCTCAGAGAGTTAAGTTTAATTATAAGAAAATAAATTTCCATTTTTGCACACCTGGACCTATAACTATAAATGTAAAATTCATTACATAGGCAACTACACAAATGTTCAACAAATAAAAACAAACACAGCAATTTTTCTTTCTCTTTTACCAAAAAATGTGAAACCAAAAGCAAATGGAATACATCAGTTAAGTTACTTTTTGTTTATGTATCTAAGGTGGACAAAATTTCTATTTGGCAAGAATTTGATCATGAAGACTGGTCTCCAAATTAACTGATACCCTCAATAAAGATGTAGGCAGGCACAGGTACTATTTTGAGAATAAAGAGCATGTACAGAGCTAAAAAGAAAACATTTTAAAATTCCTCATCCCTTTTCTTCTTTTTTTAATTTAAATTCAATTAGCCAACATATAGTACATCATTAGTTTCAGATGTAGAGTTCAATAATTCTCCTCATTCCTTTTCTACAGCCTAAAAACCTTTCATCCGTCTCTTCTGAACATAAGTAGTACTTCAAGTTAGACGATGAGGTGATATAAAAGATAA